TCTGATAAGAAAAGAACTCCCAAATTTGTTGGTGAGGGATTCAACTTGGAGGCCCTACATCAAGGGCCTTGAGGAAGTAGTTCTATCTTGGGTCAAGAGGGTGGCTGCTGTAAGACCCTATGTCTAGCAACAGGACTCTGCACCATGCCATACAAGCAGGGAAAAGTCACGTCTGCACCATGCCATACAAGCAGGAGAAAAGTCATGTCTGCAACATGCCACACAAGCAGGAGAAGCCAGTCATGGCTGTCAGACAATTTCTGTGACCACATCACCCCTTACATCTGGCCACCTAACCTCCCAGACTGCAACCCCCTGATTGGGCACAATTGATCAAGAGACCAACAAAACTCCTTGTAGCACCAAAGATGAACTGAAGGCATGGATTATGGCAGCATTCACCAACTTAAACAAGGAGACCGTCCAGAAGAGTTGCAGGAGATTCCGAAGTCATCTGGAGGCCATGGTTGAAGTCAATAGGGATTTCATTGAATAAATTTACTCTTTAGTATTTCAAAATATATTTGTGTAATTTTGGTAAATATATCTGTTAAAATGAGATGTCAATGTTATTTTCATTTTTGCATAATTTAGACAACAATTTATCCATCACATCCTCTGTATGCATATATATATATATATATATATATATATATATATATATATATATATATATATATATATATATGTGTGTGTGTTTTTTTTGTTTGTTTGTTTTTTTTTTTTTTTCATCCTTTTAAATCAATAGTTAAAGGAGAAATTACATTTGTAAGAATTGTGATATTCCTTACAAATCTTTATTATATATTACACAAGATGTATTGAATGTGTGTTCTTCTTTTTATGAAACCTGTGTATAGCAGAAAATATTCATCTGCTATCATGAAATATACTCCGAAAGCTGAGAAAAATTGTTTCTATATCAGAGTAATAGAAGAGTAATTCCCACAGAGAAATCTAGCATTATCATTGGATGATCAGCATGCTTGTGATAACAATTTGCTTCTCTGGGAAATTAGCAAAAATCTAATTTTTTTTTTCCCTACTATCTCTGTCAATAGCAACTGTCAGCCTGGGGAAAAGGAAATTGGTGATTTCAAACTCTGCAGAAAGGCAACATCATTAAAATAATGGAGACAGACAATACACTAGATGATCATAAGAGTTCTTGCTTCTTTTTTTTTATTATCTTATTTTTCCTTTTGTATTAAGATGTATAAATAAATAAGTCCACATTAATAGTTACAAAATAATGTGGTTTCTATATATTAAATTATACTATTTTATAGGTAAAAAAAGGTAGTGTATGCCTAAGAAAATGCATTGTCACATAAATTACTGGATGATAACCTGTTTAAGGTGAGCAGATCCTGTAAAGAAATTGAATACATAAATGTTTGCTTTATATCCAAATCAGTTTTGCTGACACTAATCCATAAGTCAGGAGTGGGTAAGGTAAATTTATCCAATTTCTGATATACAGATCTGTCTGCAAAACTCAGTTGAAATATAGTTCATTGGAATTTTTCTTATCTATTCATGCACACAAGTTTGGTTAATGACCAGTGAAAGTTCAAGATTTTTTTTGTCTCTGGTACATATTTAAATTAAGTTGCTATATGTGACTACTGTCACTAAAATATGAACCTTGACCTGTGTATACAAAAAAAAAAAAAATTATGGAGCCTCTTTCCATGAGAATAGTTGACTTGAAACAAAACTTTTTTTTTTTTTTTTTGTAAATAATATTTGCAATGCTAACAACTCTTCTCAAAAATAGACAATACTTGTTCTACTTTTAGAAATTTCTTTCTTCTAAAAGAGAATGCCATCAACAGAAGAAAGTTTCCAGTGAAGCATCCTTTTCTAACCCTCTATTCAATTTACAGGGAACTTTTGCACCCCTAAATTTTTTTTTTTTTTTAAATGACGGCAGGGAGATCCCCCCCCCAAACACCAGTATTTGAGAACATGCAGACATGATTACAGAACCTATCCCCAATTGAACATGTATAAAATATAACAAGACAGTGCCTGACTTATTCAGTTATATTCCACCTTCAACTTCTGCAGCTACTAGAAACATGGGGTATATTGAAGGACACTATTAGCCATCTGTATGATCCTTATATATGAGCCAGCTATAATGCCTGTAAATTGAAAGGCATATTTAATGCATTACTCTTTTCTTTTTTTTTCTTTTTTTTTAATTCTAAGAATTCACCCCAAGCAAGGCGGGAAGCCAATAGCATGCAATGGGGTTACAGAGAGTTGGAGTGAGAGCAAAGAGGAGTGATAGAGGAAAGGATGAAGAGAAGCATAGGGGATAGATCAAGGCATCTGGAGATATTGATCAAGATTACATTTGAATAGTTGGAGATTAAGAAAACAGCAAAAGGGATGGGAGTTCTACAGGCAAGAAGTGTGAGACATGAAGCTATTGGAGTAGAAGAGATGGCTACATTTAACAGTTTCGACAGTGAAAGGGTGAGAGTGAGATGCCAGCCTAGTTGTTTTACTTTTTGTGTACTTGTGTGTTTAATTATTTAAAAATTAAAATTGTTATAGCATACCTACAGATGATAATATGCATTTCCCCATTCGCATAAATACAGTAGTAAATACTGTATGTTGGTCTGCAGTTAGATATTCATTGTGGAATTCACTTGACTTAATTCTAGCAGTTGTCTACTTGTGTTGATCTTGTCCTAAGTATTATCGTTCATTACCAATTTTCATTTGATTATTCTATTCAGTAACCTTCTTTAGGTTACAACAAAGATGTAAAAAAAATTGCTTACTCACTACTATAGTTTCACCAGTTTAGCTCATCAGGCAATAAGTGGTTAAAAACATTTTTATAAATCAACTTATATATCTCTTATGGAAATCTTAAGATGGTCATCTTATCAACTAAAATTGTTCTTAAACACTTACTGCCTGATGAGCCAAATTAGTGAAACTATAGTAGCGAGTAAGCAGCAAATTTACATCTTCTGTTCTTCATTTAAAATTTTTTGTTAATGCAACTATTGTCAGAGTGGTAAGACTTGCTCCTACAGGTTTTGATGCATATGTTTACACATTTATTCTTATAATTATTAAGAATAATTTACTTTATGTACAAGGTAAGAATTCTCAATATCAGAAAGATCATTTGTAAATATAGACAGTTTGAATATAAAATTCAACACTGCATGATGACTGTCAGTTTCATGCATTCAGTAACCCTTTTCCAGTATGGCTAGAAACTATCAAACACAGAAAAGGAACTCAAAGAAAGGACTAAACAGCAATTGTGAGAAGATGTCATGTATGGTTGTCATGTAGAACAGCCCAAGATGCAAACTACGATCTGGAGACACCAAAATCAAGCAAGTGTAAAAATTGAAATATCTAGAAAGTGTTTTAACAGAGGACAGAAAATGTGGCACTGAAATCCAAAGGCATATCCTAATATCAAAAGATATTCTCTAAAACAGCATTTCGCAACCTTTTTACCCTTGCATAGTAACCCTTAAAATAAATTACATGTCTCAAGGAACCCCTGCGCAAAAACAAAATTATATATCATATCTTTCTCATTTTATTTTCATCATAGTTTACATGGTAAATATCATAGTATATATTTTTGAATAACTGGTTTAAGGAAAAATTAATACTTCTTTGTCAAATTTTTTAGTAATGCTAAATAAAATTCATACTGTTCATTTATAATACTTCATCAGGGAGTTTTCATTCACACAAAAACATTCTAAGATCAAACATAAAAAATAATCAAATCCATAAACAATATCATATGCCTATAATATAAATGTAAACAGAATGTAAATAGTAATATTACATATAGGAAATTAAATAAAAAGTCAAAAGTACATTAGTTTGTCTCACCTGTTCTCATGGAACTTTTGGAGACCTTTTTGGAGGACCCCAACTGAGAAATGCTGCTCTAAAAGTATTAAGTACCAAGAAACAAGAAAATTTCATTAAGAACAAAAAAAAAAACATACTGAACTGTTAGGTAATGTTTTCCTACATGGCAGTGAATGCTGTACAATCTCGTCACAGATGAGACTTGAGGCAACAGAAATGTGATTCTACAGAAGGACACTGAGAATACCATGAACCGAATGTAAGCAATGACAAAGTTATAAAGAAAACGGAAACTTAAAGGACATTTTTAATTAGCATCAGTAAGAGACAGTTCTAATTTCTAGGGCATATAATGAGGAAAGAAGGCTTAGAAAATTTGATACTCCCAGGATATTAAAGGAAAGAAAGACAAGCAAGCAGTAAATAACCTAGCTAATGAGCTTGTGTAATTTCTTTGCAGAACAGGGATTAGTAGAAATAACAAAAAGACAAACTTTACTAAGTAAGAGTCACAAATGACAGGAAGTTGTGTAGAGCCATTGTTGCTAACATTCCGAAATGGCACATAGAAGATGATGGTTAGTGGTACATGTAAGAGAAATAAGGGAGTTACAGAAAATCACTTCCAATGTCTTATCTTTATATTAAAGCTTAAAATCTATTTCCTTTGTTGATTTGTGCCATGTTCTTTTAATACTTGAGTGATCATGGCTGTCCACATCATCATATCTTTTGTCAAAGTAACTTTTGACTATTTACCATCCCTCTTCGTTTCTGTTCTCTCACATGTACTTGTTAAGTTGATTACTTGCTGTTTCTCTTGCCGTCAATATATCCTGTCCGTGTTAAATTCTCTAAGCCTTCTTTGATCAATAAGCATCCCAAAACTTTCAACTGTCTCATTCCTATTGTAAGTATAAGCTTCCTTGTAGTTCCTGTTTTCATTTAAACTTCCTCGTTGTTCACATGTTCTACTCATGGTATTCTTAATGTTCATCAGTAAAACCAGATCTCTGTTGCTACAAGGGAGAAGATACAGCACTTAATTTTTATTTTTATTGTAATTTTCACTGCAATATGCAAACATTAACTATTAAATTACTTTTTTCTTTTCTAGGTGTCAGTTATGGGGGACATTGCCAATACTCTGGAATATCACAGTTTCCGCAGTACCATTCCTTTGAAGAAGGTGAGTCACACAGTCCCCGACTTCTATAGACTTTGGTTTTCATCTGCATTAAAACTCTTCACCAAAAACCCAATTGCTTTTTTGATAATTGTTATGCCATTTCTTTTTCCTTTGAGATTTTCTTTCTCAATTTTCTTTTGTTCTATCTCAGAAAAGTTTCAGCCAAGGCAAAATATAACTGCAGTCAGAACTTAACTGAATTCTATATTTCAAAGAAAAAAAATTAGCTTAAAAAATGTGATTTAGGGTGTGAGACATCCTGTTTTACAATTGTGTATGTCTGTATGATAGCCTTGTAAGGATAGAAAAAGCAATTATCTCTCTTCGGTGGAGATGAAGTCACATGACAGCCGCTTAGCAACGTTATGTCATAGTGACAAAAGCGGCCAAAATCTTTCAGTCTGTCCAGGAATCAAACCAAGCAATTGTTTTTTTTTAGCATGAGTGATGCCCTTGCCTCACTTGAGTGGAGACTAAATCTGCCTCCTCCGGACACACTCAAATCTGGAATCCTAAATATGGCTCCTCCAGTTCCCATTAAAAAAAAATATAAATAAGATTCTCTTTTTCTGACCTCTTTTCACTCTGCTTGCTGTTGCATACATGTTATAGTTTCTCTACATCAGACACATGTAAATATGTATAGTTTTGTTTTGATTCATTAGTATAAAACTCTATCTGAGAACAACATGTTTCTTTCAAATATTCTGTTCCATCCATGAAATAAAGTGTTATTATATCATATATAATATCAATAATGGAAGAATATTCATTTTTTTCATAGCACACACATCATCTGATGGCATATTATTAGTCAGCCAATTAGCCTGATGAGCAAATCAAGCTCTTTCTGAATAAAGAAAGATTGTTCACAGATACTTATTACAGAATGTAGGTATAGTAAGTCAATGAAAGAAATTAAAGAAGACAGCACATACATACCTGTGTAGGTTTGGTTGTTTTGTTTATTTTTGTTTTTTTTTAATCTCTCCCAAAGCAAAGTGGGTCCAGCCTAACAGAGTATTTGTCATGATTTGAGCCAAGAGTTTTACAACGCCAGATGCTCTTCCTGATGCTCAAATCATGGTAGTCCAATGCTTTTATTAAGTCACATCTCTAGGAAGGTTGTCATTCAATGCATGAGACCCCCCCCATCCTAGCCTTTTTATATATATATATATATATATATATATATATATATATAGTTATACTCATTTGGAAAAAAGTTAGGTATTTTGGCTTGTAATTGAACAAGCCAATGCCCAAGAGAAAATAAGGGATAAAAAAAGAAAGAACTAAGACCATGAAATTGAGGCAAAAACAATCGTCCAGAATTCAAGAGTCCAAAGAAAAAAACCTCCAAAACGAGTAAAGCAAAAGTAACTACATAAAGTGCTCAATACACTAAGTAGAGCAAACGTAAATGAACCTAAAGAGCCAGGTAAACCTACCTAGGTTTCACCTATACGGAGTCAACTGACTATCCCTATAGGTGAAACCTAGGTAGATTGCCTAGCTTTTAGGTATTTATATATATATATATATATATATATATATATATATATATATATATATATATATATATAGTAAAGTTTAAAATAAATTCCATGAATGTATAATCCAAGTGGGTCCTAGTAATATTAAAATTGATCCGCAAAAAAGAGCTCAATGTATTTTATTTGTACAGAGCAATATTATGAATAATCAAAAAGAATTTCTTTTTAACTCTTGTGTGGAATAGGCTATTTCAGCAGATCAATCTCACTTTTTGTACTGTCGAAATAGCCTATTCCCCACATGAGGTAAAAAGAAATTTTTTTTGATTATTCATCATGTGTGTGTTTTTTTTTTTTTTTTATTTTATGAACATATTTTCAAACTTCAAATCGTAGCGTTATTCTATTTTATCTTTTTTTACTGTTGGTTCAGATCAGAATAGTCAATTTTTTTATTCTATTATCTTTCAAATATTTTTAACAATAATAAAAAATGTTCTCCTATATTTGGTGATAATTTTATACTTTTATTATTTCTAAATTATTATTTTCCAAAGTAATAATAATAATGTGTTACATTTGATAACAAACTGTTTCCTCCAACATCCAGTGTAAGATATATGTATGTTTCTATCTGTGTAACTCCGATTGTCACTCCTTACGGTGGAGATGCTTGTATGGTTAAATGACTCTGAGTGATTCTGTCATGAGTTCTAAACTCGTGGTAGGACCACCCTTGGCAGGAAGGTCAAAATCAAGGACTCAGACTAAGCATGACCAACAGATCTCAGTGGTTGAACAAGTGGATGGAGAGGGCTATGCATGATGGACATGCTATAGAAGGTGCCACTCGAATTTATAACGGTCAGCAGTAGTCTGTGGCAGTTTCATAACTGGATTCTTGTATCACTTCCTGGCAAGTTGAGGTCCACCTTCAGCAAATCCACACCATTGACATTTTCTTCTAATCTGATTTTCTTTCACCTCCAACCAACTCTTGCGGAGCCAAATGATGATAAGGAATGGGTGATGGGAGCAGATTTTGGTAAAACTGGAAGCTTCTTGTCTTGAACCTGCACGTTGATGTCAAATTTAGTCATCAATGCTATCCTCATAAAGCGATCAGCAAAGAAGAAATTAAATTCTTGGATACAAGATAAAGCCGCCACATATTAACTATTGTCTCTTATAAGAAAATTCTGATTCTTAACATCTTTTCTCAACATGCCTCTATTTGGTTGAAAGCTTAATAACATGCAATAATTATTATTTTTATTCTACCTTAAATTTTTTTCATCAACCTCCTATGCCCATATATCAGTCCAATTATCTTTCTAATTTACATAAATGATCTGCTTAAGAGTCTACTCTGATCTTATTTGAATATCTATACTGATGATACAGTTCTATATGGATGCATGTATATACACGTCTATGACGGAAGGTGTTAATGCCATTAATGCTCGGATGACATCCAGATCAATAAAGTACATTGCGTTTTACCAAGACTATGAATTTGATTCTCACTAGGTGTTTTATGGCTTTCTGTCACATTAAACTGAGGTTAGTCAATAGCTGAAACATTTCTTATTTTGTTTTAGTACAGTTTTCTGTTTTAAATCATAAACTTGTACAGCACTTAGGATTCTCTTCAGAAAGAATTAATCCTTTGAACCCTGCATTCCTGAACAATTTTAACCCTTCTGCCTAAACTTTTGAGTCAAAATTCACAAATAATTGGTATGTAATGTTTCATGGTAAATATAAAAATAGTTACAAGTGTTTTCCCACCATTCAACTGGTAGCTGGGCATTAAGTCAACTTTCTCTACCACTGTTCAACCGGAGACTGGTCATTACGTCATTTTTCTCTACCACCAGTAAAATGGTGGTCGGAGCTCAAAGGGTTAATGAACGAGAATAAAAACGATATTGCTTTCTTTTCTCTCTAATCTATTTTCTGAAATTGTTTTCCCTTTTAGATTGTTGTTGATGATGACCATCACAAAGCTTGGTCATTGTATGATGCCGGACCACGCAGTGTTCGCTGCCCTCTCATATTCTTTCCTCCTGCCAGTGGAACTGCTGATGTTTTCTTCAAGCAGATTCTGGCATTATCAACTGTTGGATACAGGGTCATTGCTGTAAGTACTTCCAGTTCCAGTCAATGTTTTTTTTGGGGTTTTTTTTCCCCATGTGATGAATTAAGAAATATCTGTCCTTTTAATTACTTGGGAGTAACCAACAAGACGTGGTATGATAAAACTCACCTAAACAGTCACAAACTGGCCTGGGAATATCCGCTTGCCAGATGGCAAGTCCACCTGCCCCACATGTCATATCCAATTAAAATGCAATGAAGAAACAAACCCAGATAACTGTTTTAGTAATAAAATGGAATAAGAACAGTCATTTGCACACTATCAATTACTCATATGCAATGTGAGAGGATATTTTCAAAGGTAAAGCTCACAAAAAGAAGGTTAAAAATTTGCTGAGAATTTGTAATCATACATGTTGCTATCCATTGAAAAGAAATTGTTAGATGAATTGGAAGCAAAAGCAATTATTAGCAGATTCCCACAATTATTTAAGCTTGGACATGCAGGTGGTGTATTGGATAATGTCTCAGGATTGTTAATCAGAGAGCCAAGTTCCAATTCTCGTTATGTAAATTATAGCTAATTATGAACAAATACCCTTGTAAAAGGTATGAATCTACTTCTCCCCCCAGCTATGGGATAATTAGTAAGACTTGTATCTCAAAAAAAATTCTTACATTCTAAAAATATTTATTGGCTTTAAATAATCTACAAGGGTTGATAAGCCATAGAAAGCAAATCAATTAAACCAAAAATCTATAATCTGCATAGATCCTTACTAACAATCTGAGATCATTAACATAAAGAAAAGTAGGGTAGGAATGAGGCTTGTGAGACACCAACATTGATCTCATGGACTTCAGAAGATTGGCTATTGACAATAACCTTCAAAGACCTACCTGATATGAAGGGCTTGATGATTGTAAAGTCTCTTCCAGAGATTCCATAGTTATAGATTTTGAGTAACAACCCCAGATGCCACTGCTTGTTATAGATGTTTGAGTTCTTAAAGGCAATTGTTCTTGTAATGAATTTATTGTTGAATGCCTCATTGATTCTGTTTTATGATAGAACATCAGCAGTGGACTTAGAAGAACAAAAATCTTTACTGCTTGTTGCTCAGGGGGTTGTTTCTGTTGAGATGATGAACTATCTTTCTGATTATAGCCTCAAAGAGTTTGCTGAGGACATTAAGGAGGCTGATGCCCCAATAATGAAATGGGGATGAATGCTCCTCCATATTCTTGAAGGTAAAACAGACAAGACAGTTATAGAATGTTGAAGGCAGTGGAGTCAGACAAAATATTTGCCTAAGTTCCTTTCTTGTGTATCATCTGGGGTGTTAGTCAAGATAATTCATTAATGATGAAACCAATTAATTTTTGTCTTGAAAATGCTATCAAATAATTCGCACAAAAAATACTCCAAACTCCAGTGGTTAATTTTTTTTCCTTTTAGGACAAAAAGGCTTTTCATCACAGCCACTGCAACAAACTGTGTTTGTAAAGTTTAAGCCCAACTTTTTTTAATGACGCTAATACAAAAAACATCAATTTAATTTAAAATGTAACTGATATATGAAACAAAACAAGTTCAATTGACCATTGATGAAAAAATAGAAAAAATACTTCTGGATATTGTTGTAGAATGGTTAAGGAGATTTTTGACAAGTAATTTTTTTTCATAGGTTTTCTTACTCTGTCAGTGAAAACAATGATTGTTCTGAAGCAGATGATAAATATCTTGGGAGAAAATTTCTTTGTCCCATATGTTGGGATTTCTTCCTAACCAATAAAAAAAAAAAGGAGAACTCTTGGTTTTACCAACAAATTTTTCTTTCTTGCCTTGAAGTCAGAAGGCTATAACCACTTAACTATATCAAATCTAACAACTATTTTTATTTTATAAAAGCGATAGAAATCAATGTGCCTCCTGATTGTTAACTTCTATTTAAAACCTGAGGAGGTTAGCTTAATGCAAAAAGGAAGCAGTTTAAAAAAAAAAGAAAGGAAGATATTTGAAATGTGATACTGCTTGGTATAATTCCAGATGAATAATAAACAAATAATTAGATCTGTGACAACAGTCAAGTTAGATTCATAATCAATCATCATGTCAATGCTATTTCCATCTGTGGCTCACATGACATTTTTTTTTTAATCGTTTCACTTCTAGCAAGTCAATAAAGCCACTAAGATACAGGTTAGGACCAATAACATTACAGATAAGAATATTTGTAAAAAAAATAATCCCTGTAAGTTGTATAAATTTGCAAAGTGAAGCATAAAAAAGTCTCCTCATATTCACCAAGTTTTTTTGTTCCTTTAGAATTTCATCTGGAAAGTAATTGTTTCACCATAATTTTATCAGATAATTAAGTGCTTATCTATTCTATTTTATTCATTGAGTATTTGATCTTTAATTTGATCTTGTAACTATTTACACTATTCGGACTCTTGTTCTCATCTTTATTGTCATATTCACAATTTTTCGGCTGTTGTACACTCCTGCTGCATGACAATACCACCCCATGCACTGTCAACCTGACTTTGACTACAAAGTGACTCCCACAATATGGTTGAGATGCACAACATGTATCTGACTTAAATCTTTCCAATCATCATATGTTTGAGCCTCTCAAGTACCTTTTTTCTGTTTCTCTATGTAAACTTGAAATTTGTGTTGATGGCCATTAATTGATGTTTCAGATCTATCACTTATCTGTTGGGCCCAAACCAAATCCATTATGAAAATGCCATCACTTTATTGATTCTTTTTTTTTTCTTTCTTTTTTTTTTTTTTTTTTTTTTTGTTGTGATAACAAAGCTGGAGACATTAGTCCACATGTAAATAATAATTTCTTTAAGGCTTATGGAATTTTTTTTTTTTTCAATTTCATTGGGTAATTTCAAATTCATTTATTCTTACTTTATTTTCCTTTCCTTCAGGTTGACTATCCTGTCTATTGGACTTTGAAAGAAATATGTGAAGGTTTCCAGAAACTTCTTGATCATTTACAACTCGACAAAGTAAGTAGATACCTATCGAATCAAATTATTCCATGATCTCAAAGAATGCGGATGATTTTAGCCCAACCAAAAAGGCTTTTATAAAATGGCTGGTCAGCTTAGAAAGTGGATTAGGTCCAGAACTTTTCAGCACCTCCTTTAGACCATTGGAAAACTGGGCTTGGTCTATCATTACTTTCATGGGATTACTTGGCAGTACCAACCTTTTCCTATTAAATTCAAATTTAATTTTCTCTTTTTCAAATAATTTTCTTTTACTTGTAATACAATGGGTTCCACTTACGACACACATGAAGCCAAATGTGCTGTAAATGATTTTATCTGAGCCTGAAGCAGAGGCATTTTCTAACAACCAACAGTAAAATCTAGATGTGAGAACTTCAAAGCAATCATTTGCACATTAGGAAGAAGAAAATGAAAACTTCCCAAATCAAGTGCCATTCTGTCAAAAGGTAAAAATTTGAGTCATGTCGCCAATTCTAGAATCATTGGTCAGAAGCTGGCTGTTGCCGAACAAATCATCAATTGTAATGTAGAGACAGGCAGCTGGGGAGTGTCAGCAATGGTTACAGCAATCAGAGAGAGGAGTTGGCTGTCTACCAAGTCACCTTAGTGGGTGTAAGAATAAGTGAAGAGACTTAAGTGTCACCGGCATACCCCCAGAAAGAATGCTAAGTTGAACTTGCTCAGTGAATAAAGAATGCAGTATCTTGAAAATGGGATTCTTTTTCTTTCTTTTGCAATATTTCATTTCCTGTTCCTTTGAACAAAAACACTGTCTTTCTCAGTTCTTGCGTCACATACACACACACACAAACAAAAATTGAAAGACATCATTGGGTGAAGTTGTCCAGTCATTGGAAAAACTAACCAAATGCCGTAGTTGTATGCTAACCTTTATCTAGCTAGATGTAAAAATTGTCACCAAACTGTGGTATCCAGAGGAATTTTTAAACTACCACAGTCTATTTTTTTAAAATTTCCATATTCTTTAAAATAAAAACTAGTACTATTAGATATTTCCTTGTCTGCACGACAATCCTTTCTGGTAACATAGCTTGCTATATACAAAAGTGACATTTTAGTATTGTAGAGTAGCTAGCACCCCTTCAGCACTCTACCAGATAGCCTAGCTCATAGCCTTAAATAATCTACGATTAAGGACTTGAACAGTTGATTAATAAGTTAATACTAAGCTGAATAATATTCAAACTGATTGTACTTCATTTGGCTATACAGCATCTGACGCTCCTCTATTCCTTGTAAGTTGTCTTGATAATTGTTTTGTAACTTATTGGTCTGTGTTTTTTGTATGTATCCATTAGCACCAGATACAGGTACTGAATAAATATATTAAACACTCATTCTTCTCTGTGTATCATTCGCCTCGACAATACAACACAACAGATTGGGGACGAGGACGAAATCGGTCCGAATATTATTCAGCTCAGTATCAACTTATTAATCCACTGTTGAAGTCCTTAATCATAGACTATTTAAGGCTATGAGCCAATCCAGCTGACAGTGCTGAAGGGGTGCTAGCTACTCTACAAGTATCCTAGCTTCGAGGTTCCATAAGTTATCAAATGTTTGGCATCCCATTTCATCCAGCAAATGTCTACATTTTTGAGCAATTATGGCCTGGTTCTTTGACACCAACATTTAATTTAAGAAGTAGTTTAGTTTTTTCCAATATGAAATTTTTCAATAACATTTTGAACTGTTATAAGATATACACCTCCAGAACTTTGTCTTAATTTTCTAAATTGATTTTATAGTCTGTGGTAAATTCACCAAGCACAACAAAATTAAACCCACTCTTTAGCAAATATCTGCAGACATCAATTAAGCCATTACATGTATGTTCGATGGCTAAACTAGTATCCTTGCTTTCCTTCCATTCTTTTTGTCATTTTCCCAAAATTAAAAAAAAAATAACAGATGTTAATCATCTAAATCTGATATCACTTTTTTCAGTGTATTATTTTTCTTAGTGTTAGCATATATTTCTTTGAGAAAGACAATTTTCCAAAATTTTAAGACTTTTTCAATGTAATTAACTGTTTCTGCAGTATCCTCCCCATTTAATAATGGGTGTGTTTTAATGGCAGCTACAATTGATCACAAAAAACTTTCAAACAATAGGAAAGATTTTGTCACTCAACAATTTTGGGTACATTACTTAGTTTCAGCAGCTTAGCAAATTGAGTTTTACAATTTCCCATTTTGGTGTCATCTTTTTGCCTTTGGAATAAAACAATAATTCAGAAGTAGGTTCAGTAATCGAATTATTTTGAATATTTTTAAAAAGGTGGACATAATCAAAAAGTAAATACAAGCCATTTTTAGTTAACCAAGGCTTATTAAAAATAGTGTCAAATTTTTTGAATAAACATTGATGGAGCCTGTTGCTATCACACACAATTGTAATTACTTGACTATTTAATTGTTTGATTGCATTTGCATTAACGAACAAAAAAAAACCCACACAATTTAATTTCTGTCTTTCCTTGTCTTATCAACTGACTGAATCTTGTCTAGAGACTCATTTTTAGCCATTGTGGGTGTCCCCCTGCTTACCCACAATGAGCAACCTACTGATGCTCTCATCTTCTTCCCACATTGGCACTTGAAGTCATTAGAATGTAATCTATTCTTCCACACGGGGTCAAGTGGACACTTAAGAAAATACCATCACTTAAGAGGAAGTTGACCAAAAACAGATGACTTCTACACTAGCCGTTGTCAGCATTTGAACCCAGGTATGGGGAGAGAAAAGAATACAAATATCTTTTTCTTTCATTCATCTGTTTTTGTTATCAGTATACTTTCAGTCTATTGAAAAACATTGTTTTTCTTTCTTGTTTTCCAGTTTATTTTGAAAGCTTTTTTCCCAATTTACCACCACCTTCTTAATAGTATCATACTTCTAAAAAGTGTATGAAACTTATATTCTAAAGTCTTGAGGGTTTGACTTTGGAATTTAGGTTTCAGAATTTAAAATTTTAAAGTTTGTATGAATGTGGGAATCTTTTAAAGACTGTCAGGACAAAAGGACTTGGGATTCAGATATAAGAATTTTAGAGTTTGGAAAATTAAATTTTGGATAATCATATTTTCCAGGGGGTGGGTGTGGATCAATTTACCTCCACCCCACATAAAATATGAATATCTAAACAAAATTAACCACTTTAATATTTTTACAGAATATTTCTTTTAAATTTACTGTAAAAATATTAAACTTGTTAATTTTGTTTGACATTTTTAACAATACTCATAAAATTCAGCATTTTTTTTTTTTTTTAAATACCTGTAAATAATTAATTTTTTTAAATTTGTAACTCTATATATTTATGAAGAATATCATAGACAAAATATTAAATTAAACTTTTATTCAATTTTTTTCAAATGGTCAAATTTCTGTATAGTAAAAGAGGAAAATTAGTAGTGTAAAAACTAAAGTTACATTCATTTTATCTGTTTTCTTACAAGACGGTATCAACATACTTCATGTGTTATAAAGAAAACACAAATTATTCATTAAAAAATGAATTATAAATTAACTATGTGACAAAATTCTTGATAATGACATTTTTTGTGATTTTTGCTGTTTAAAATAATCACAAAAAAAAGAAAGAAGACTTGACAAGACAATGTTGTCTCTTTTATATTTTTGTGGTATATTTTTAAGAATAGTTGTAAAATATTAGATTTATTATTGAATTTAATTTTTGACATTAACTTTGTGATAAATTCTTTAATTTTGCAGTGAAAAACATTTTTATTTTTTAATTTCTTCTATTTATTCATGAAGGACAGAAAAATTCAATATTCTTTTCTAAAAAAGAAAAACAGATTATTCATAAAAAATGAATTTTATACTTAATATGATCATTGTTGAAGAAAAATAGAGAAAATATAAAATTTAAATTAACTTTGTGATAAATTCTCAATGCCACTTGTGAATTTCACATAAAAAAAAATGTTTGTTTAAAGATAAGATATGCACTATTTACATTATTCGAACTATTGTCCTCATCTTTGTCGCCATATTTATTACAATGTTTCAGCCATTGTACGCTCCAGCCTTCTTCAGGTGGTTGGAATGTCGAACTGAACCCTTTATTTTGCTGATGTTATATGGACCGCAGATCCTTTGTACTTTCTCTGATAACCCCTTCACATAAGGCAGGCAGACTGTTTTCTGAGTGTTGTTGTCCTCCTCTTGTACCTGCCTATCTCAGTTTTTTGGGGCTGCTGCCATGTACCCAGGGTAGTTGTTACATTGTGGGGTACTACTTATACTGACCAATTCTTTATCTAATGTCTCTGGGTCGTCACTTATGACTTTTGCCCAGTGTTGTAAGCAATGGACGATTTACGGTATATGGATGTCTTGAAACCATGCTCTGTTCAAGATATTAGAACATTCAGAAATGGGAGTGTGTTGTTACTCTCTTTCTCATCATGAACTGTATCAAAGGTCTTATTGAGTTCACATGGTCCAGAAGAACCCGAACATCTTCCTGGTGTGGCCAGAGTATGAAGGTGTCATCTACGTATAAAATATGCAAAGTTCAAATAAAATAAATATTATACTTACTACAGTATCTTAAATAATAAACATTAGTTAATCCAAAAGTAAAATATAAAAATTTCTTAAAAAAAAAAATTAATTTCTTAATCCAATTCCAACAACAAACATTTGCATGTAAATCTTTACCCTCAGTCGCCTACTGGCCTTACTCTATGTAATGGCCTGAGTTATGGAAGCTTTGATATAAAGAATAAATAGGAATCATTTATAAAGTTAATGTTGTGCCTTTTATTAAGGCTTCATCAGAGATTGAAATATGGGCGCAGTGACTTTTCAGGTATTTTTGTGTAGACAATTTCTCTCTCCAAAATCTATCTTACATATCTATAACTCTACTATTTGTCCATGCTTAGAATATTACTGCCACATATGGTCCGGTGCCCCCTGATATTTACCTTGAGCTCCTTGATAAAATCCAAAGAAAAATCAGCAATATTATTAGTCCTGATCTGGTGTCTCGGCTTTAGTCACTTTCCCATCATCATAATGTTGCCTCTCTGTGTCTTTTCTATAAATACTTTCATGGTAATTGTTTGGATGAGCTCTTCACTATGTTACCTAGACTTTATGAATTTAAGCAGTTGTTACGTGTTGATAATTGTAACAAAGGGAAAAAAAAATGATTTACCACAACACAGAGCTAAATCACAAACAAATATTTAATTTACTAAAACACAACATAAAATATATACAAGATAAACAATTGTGGCCTACAAAACAGAAAACACAGAGTTACTGGTGGAAGTGTTACGAGGGAGAAGGAAAGGGAATCAAATATCTTTATCACTTTAGGACTAGCGGAGTAATCTATGTGCTATATTTGGAAATCCACAAAGGTGTGTAAATAAATATTAATTTTTAGTTTGGTCAGTGAAAATTAGTCAAAATTCTATTTACCAAATTTGTTCCATGAAATTCCCTTTTGGGTTTTGGTTGGTCGGCAACTCTTTATAGAGATTCTTTCAGCTGGATATAATAGTCCTCGAATCAAAAGCCGGAGTTGATAACAGCAGAAATTCTTTTCATCAACTAACGACCCTTTTCCAAAATCCCATTTTTATAGGGGCTAACACCTAATTTGCATATTTCTAGATGTTTCTCGAATCCTCTAGATTCTTCTCGAATGATCTAGAATCTTCCAAACATTCTATTTCAAATTTCTCTATTTTATATCTACTTCATGAAAGAAAACATTTTTGTATTAACAGGTAGGACTCGGTAGAATCCCTTACTATAAATTTTAACCTTATTGAGACTTTCTTATTATAGAAATGCATCCTCGTAACACACTGTACCAGGCTAGTGATGAGGTCTTGTCAATTTACAGTTGAGTTGGCTAAATGTAGCTGTAAGTTCTATGCTAACCATTTCTTTCTCACACTTCTCGCTTGTGGAACTCCCATCTGGTGACATGCTTTCCAGCCAGCTTTAATCTTCAAAAGTTTAAATGCAATATCAATTGCTAACTATGGTCCTCCTGATTGTTCTTGCTCCTTAGTAATGTTTCTGTTTTCTAATATTTCCACACCCAGTAACCCCATTACTACCTTGCTTGGGGTGATCATGATTTAAAAAAAAAAAAAAAAAAGTTGCACAAAGTGGTAATGACAAATTTGAATCTCGAGTCTGTCTTGTGTACATTGAGTAAACTGAATCCTGATTTCAAAACACTTTCTCCATTGCACAAACCTCATTAATCATTAAATATGTTTGCAAAAATGTGTCTAATAAGCAAAGAGATCTACTAATAACATATTCACATCTGTGTTTGTTATTGTCACTGTAAAGCTCTAGTAATTGTTGTTATGATGCGGCCCACTTTGCCCAGGGTCAACAATGACATGACTCTCCATGAAAAAAGTTTACCAACTCTTGCCCAACTTGTAGTGCCCCCTCCCACCCTAATGGGTTACATGATCGTGATCTGATGATTATTTATTTTCTACTAGAAAATGTACAAAATATCAACTTCACAATTATGGTTAAATACATTTGCTCCCCTCTTCAAAAATAAAAAAAAATAAGAGTACATTTTCCAACCTAAGAAAAAAATTTGTACTCGCTCAGTTTTAGTAAGTCTCAGTGTGAGAAGGTGAAGGTCATTAATAACTATCGTCAGGTTTACAGTAGCGTTTTTGTGTAGAACTTAATGATTTTAAACTTTTGAATTTAATTATTTTTCACTAAAATTTGTTTCCCAAAAATTCTGTCATCCATTCTATATGCCAAGCATTTTCATCCAGAAAGAAAGGAATTATCAATGGTCAGGAATAAATACAAGCCTGACAGAATAGGGCTGTTTCATGCATAATATGTACACACTTATAATGATTATACTAAATACATTCAAAATTGGGAAGAATGGCTTTGTCTTGAGTCAAAAATAAGGATGTAGGATATTTGTCATGGCCCCCCCACACGCACACACTTTGGGTTTTTTTTTTTTTTCATTAATGATGGTTACATTGCATCAACAAAAATTTTTAACACTCCAGATCTATAAATTTCATGTGGATGTCACCCATATTTTCTTTTATTTGTGAATGAAGGTGGGGACCTTTTCTTCAAAAATCAGATTGTTTCCATTCCCATTTTTACCTAAGGCTCTGAAAATATATTCATAAATTTTTATCTTTTTATTTTTTCTTTCATTTTTAAACCAATAAATAATAAATGAAATACAAGTATACCTCACCTTATGTTGGTAATTTGTTCCAGGAGAGGCGACTTGTCTCTGAGTTTATTTATCACTAGGCTAAACCACAAATAGCCATTCCCAGTTCTGTATTTTATTTATAAATGCATTTTTAATAATATATGGTCAATAAGAATCTATTTTAAGCTTACACATAAATTTTAGTTTTTAATATAGTACAGAAAAAAGTAATCTAAATTTACAAATACATGTACATACATACTTGTCGATGTTTTTTATTTGGTGATTGTCACAGTACATCATGGACTCTTTATTTGCGAATGTGGTTTGCTCTAAGTCATTATAATATAAAATGGTTTTATAAGGTTAAATAACAAATACAGATCGCTAAATAAAATGACAACACAGAGTCACAGGTGTTTTCATATTTCATTCTCTAGGATTTATGATGATTATATTAACATTTACTGTAAATGTACGTATTTTAATATGATTTTATATACATTTATTCTTATTTATTGTACAGCAACATGATTTTTTGTGCTTTTAACACTTTTCTAGTGATATTACAACTTCAATACTTGTAGCGGACAGACATAAAGTCGAATAAAATGACTTAAACGTTTTAATTTTTCCATATATTTTTTTGACAAACGACATATAATCGAGAATGACTTAACTCAAAATGACATAACCCGAGGTATACCTGTATGTATCTACACGTCTATATAGCAATAGCTGGTTACTTTTTTCTGAGTTCTAATTAATCCCTGTAACAAACACCTGCTAAGGCGATTTGTGTGTCTTCAACACCCAAATAGAATAGCCAACGTGGGGGTTATACTGCAATTATACTGCACATATTATCTGGAGTTCTAATTTCTCTCACAAGGCTAGGATCATTACATCATGGTTTCAATTGCCTAATTTCTCTCACAAGGCTAGGATCATTACATCATGGTTTCAATTGCCTAATTTCTCTCACAAGGCTAGGATCATTACATCATGGTTTCAATTGCCTAATTTCTCTCACAAGGCTTGGGTCAACAGATTGTAAGTTTTTCAGGTACTTTCCAATGATGCTACATGCTATGATCATTCCTCGTCTCTTTAACAAATTAATTAAGGCAGGATTTGAACACAAACATAACATTTTTCTGCTTTGCCAGAAGATTCCACAGCTGCTATGATCAATGCTCTCAGTGATGTAGTAGAAATAGAATTTAATGATTTGACAAATTAAATTGTAAAATTACCTTTTATATTTTTATCATATCATTTCTTTTCATGGCATGAATAAACTATCTTTTATATATGTAAATTTTATTTAAAATATAAATGTTGAATTCATTATTTATAATTTCAAATAATGTCTTGAAATAGCAAGTTGATATTATTGATTTTTAATGAAGATTTTACCAAATCAACTTTTTTGAAAGATAAGGGTTTCTACTCCCCACCCCCAAATAGCAAGTTGTATATGCAAAATGGCCATTTATGAAAAGTTTGTTCCTATTACAAGCCTCTTTTCGCAATTAAGAGCAGTCCTCTACACAGGTTGGCTTTTTATTAGAAAAGGTGTATTAAAGTAGAACCACTGTAAATAACAGTTACTTCATTGATACAAGGAAACAAAATGACAAAAGTATCCAAGTGTAAGTTCCACAAAAAGTATCTGCTGCATGTATAAATCTCCTGAGAAACTTTTTCTGATTTGCAGATGCAGTAAATTAACCTTTTATCACACTGTGACATCATTTACTGTCTAAAATGTTTATCCTACCACTGAAGGTGACTCTGATCTCTGAATTTGAATTTCATAGATGTGTTGTCATATCCTGCTATGACAACAGAAAACACTTTTTGAGTGAAATTAACAATAAGGTTACCGCAATTGAGAGACCTTGAAAAAGAATACAGTGTGACTATCAGATTTTCCAAGAACTCCTTCCTCATGATATGCCTCAGAAATTTCAACTCTCTCTTATTGATGGTAACTAAAAGTTTCCTGTTTGTTTCCATTTTCTTTAAAACCTCTTCATTGCTCACATATTCAGACCATGGTATTCTCTGCATCCTTCTGTAGAAAAGTACCCTTGGCACTGAAGGTGTTAAAACAAAAAGTTTTTTTAATTTTTTTTTTTATTTGCCAGGTCCACATATTTGGAGCTTCCCTTGGCGGTTTCATTGCACAGAAATTTGCTGAACACACATCGCATTCTCCTCGGGTGATGTCACTCCTTTTATGCAACTCCTTCAATGACACTTCCATATTCCAGCAAACAAATGCGGCACCCACGTAAGAGTTTGTTTTTTTTTGTTTGTTTGTTTGTTTTTTCCCATGTAAAAAGCCTGAATATATTTAGATTTTCATGTATAATGCAATCTCCACTTTATGCATGGAAAGTTTTAAATGATTGGTTTTCAGCTTACATAATGTTTCATTGTATCTTAATACATGTCATTTTCACATATCATAATACATGTTTTCATGTATAATGCAATCTCCACTTTATGCATGGAAAGTTTTTAAATGTTTCATTGTATTTAATACATGTCATTTTATATCATAATGTTTTCATTATAATGCAATCTCCACTTTATCTTTTTAAATACATGTTTCATTGTATCTTAATATATTTTCATATATACATGTTTTTTCATGTATATGTATAATGCAATTTTTTCAGCTTACTTTTCATTGTATGGAAATACATGTTTTTCAATGATTGGTTTTCATGTATAATGCAATCTTACATAATGATTGTTTCATTGTATCTTAATACATGTCATTTTCACATATCATAATACATGTTTTCATGTATAATGCAATTTCCACTGCATAACATAAAAAGTTTGAAATGATTAGTTTTCAGCTTACATGTTTCATTATACATGATTTTATGTCTATCTATATTTCTGAGATGTGGTATTGTAACAACAGTTCAAATGATGTAACTAGTGTAAATACACATCATTCAGACTGTTGTTCTCATCTTCATTGACATAGTCACGACTTGACCCAAAGAATTACTTAGGACTAAATAAAGAATTAGGTTCAAAATTCCAATGTATATCATTTGAATAAGTCCGGTGCATACAATGGCTGAAACATTATGAATATGGCAATAAATATGAGGACAACAGTCCAAATGATATAGTGTACATATGTTTTTATGTATAATGCAATCTCCACTTTTAAAGTTTAAAATGTTTATTTTTAGTTTACATGTTTCATTGTATCATTGAGACAATTTTAGAAGCCAATGCAAACCTTGGATTTGGTAGTTGCTAAGCATCAGTAAACAAGAATTTCTGCTATTTTTTTCTTAATTTGCCAATTGTATACAGTTGTTGTCACTCCTAAGAAGTGAATTAATAATGCAAGATCTTTTCTCACTGATCAAATTACATGATGGGGGACTTCATTAATGCAATACTTAAATTATTTAGAGTCAGACTAATATCCTCATCTTTATTCAGCTGTTGTGCTCTGACCTTTTTCAAGTGTCTGTAGATCTAGGTAACCTTCAGGAAATCTTGAGCTTAAGTACAAGATGTAGGTTGTTATCATTCGTCTGTTCATTTAAACTTGCCCTTGAACAAGAAGAGATATCCCTTGACATGAACAATGGAATGAGTCCACATAGATTAAATAAAAGGTTCAGTTTGGCTAAAAGGTTGTTATAATAACAAGTATGAGGATATTAGTGATGTCAGTTATTGAACTCACAGGGACACATGGCACAGTGGATAAAGGCGTTAGTTCGATCCAGTGACAGGGCCCAAAGAGTGTGTGTTCAATACCCGTTTAAGGCAGTGGAGAACTTTCAGAGGGAAATTAACAGGACATAACTGATAACTGACATCCATTAAACATGGCACATGGAACTAGAACAGTCTGCTCCAGTGAACAAAATAAAGGGTTCAGTTCGACATTCCAACCACCTGAAGAAGGCCAGAGCGTACAACGGCTGAAACGTTGTAATAAATATGGCGACAAAGATGTGGACAATGGTCTAAATAATGTAAATAATGTTCTTTTTTTTTTTTTTTTTTCCCCTTTTTTTCTCCTTTTCTTTTAAAATTTTTATTATTGAGTTTTTGGGCCCAATTCTTTCTTTTTTTTTTTTGTTCAGTATTGTGGTCTGTTATTTTTCCAGATTTTGGTTGATGCCAGCTTTGTTTTTAAAGAAGATGGTTATTGGGAGTTTCCAAAAAGGCATGGTTGACTCGAGTATTGCTGATTCCATTGACTTTCTCGTTGATAAGGTGAATCTTTTTACAACTTCATCAAATATCAAGATTAAGATGATGAAATCAGTGCGATGGAATAATGCTGATAAATTAAAATTTGATTTCTAATTTTGTTTTTTTTTTAATTATCACTTTAAAAATGGTCATATTAAAAAAAAAAAACGTATACATTAATATATACATACATAACTGTTTGTTTTTTGATGAAGCAGAATCAGGATTAATATTGTACAAAGCAAAGTGGATCCTGCTTGACAAAGAATTTGTCATAATGATTTGAAGCAAGGTTTTACAAGCCTTATGGCCACATACCATTTTAAACACTGATTCCCATACAATCATCAAAGTTAAACAACATAGTCAGTACCTAGATAGGTCACCACCTGGATGTGCAGGTGATAATGGCTCTGAATTGTTAATCAGAGAGCTGAGTTCCAATTTCAGTTGGGTTCATTATACTCACTTAAGCACAATTACCCTTGGAAAAGTATGACTCTGCTTCTCCCCAAGCTATGGGTTAATTAGTAAAACTTGCATTAATAAAACCATTATTATCTAAAAAAAATTTCTTACAATCTAAAAATATTTTCTGGTTTAAATAACTTACAAAGCATTGATAACCCATAGAAAATGAATGTTAGCACATCTTCCCTTTGACAGGTCTTGTTTTTTCAGCCTGTGGCTTAACATACGACTATTCTCATCAGCAGAAAAGGTAGTTGGGGAGCTGGGTTTCATGTTACCAGTAACAGGCCTAAGCCTGACCTGACCAAAATATATAGAAATATATTAAAACTAAGTGAGGAAAAGAAAGAAAGAAATAAGTATTTACTGTAAAATGGTAAATCAAAAAGTGTGTGTATATATATATATATATATATATATATATATATATATATATATTTATAATATAAAGTAATAGAATTTGGGGGATTTAGACAAATCATTAAAACAAAATGCAGAAAGCCGTTTCATCGGATTTGGGACTCATCAGCAGGGCACATCTGCAACCAAGATTCAAACCCATACCATTTCGATACAATGCAAACATCATATCCGCTGTATCAACAGTACCAAGGATAAACTCTATATAATGCCGCTACTCACAAATTCCCATGTGATACTCCTCCAAGTATTCATAACCCAACATATTGTGCTTCAAGAGCCATGACTTTCCTTTCTCCCAAACCACTTCCTCGCAGAGCATTAGCTAGGTCAAGCAAGGATATACAAGTAATTGAATTTTGAGGATTAGGCAAATCATTATCGTAATTCATTGAGTCTAGAAGAATCCTTAACGAAATGCAAAAAGCACTGAATGGCTCGTACTGATGAAAAGTAGTCAGAGAATTTAAACAAGAAACTTTTTCCCCTGGGCTTTGTGTATTGTCATGTATGCCTTCAACAGACTATTACACTTTCTGGTTTAAATCCTCTGACTACTTTTCATCAGTACAAGTTGCAGTGCTACCTGTGCTAAACTACTCAACACCCAAAAAACAGAAGGGCTTCTGTACAAAATATCTTTTCTTTTCTCTCAGGTATGATTGCTGGTCATTTTTAGATATGTCTTTTCTGGTCAAAAGCCACATCAATGCGTTATTCTCTTGATTCTGTAATATGCAATAACTTAGTCACAATATGACACTATTGGGACCCAATACAGGATTTGCTTAGGTCACCCATATAGAAGTGGACAGTAAATGACTTTATCTGTCTGGAGTTTTTTATAACCAACAATAAAGTCTATGAAGTAAGATCTTTAAAGAAGCCATCCACTTGACCAAAAGGGAATAAATAGATAAATAAAGGAAAGCTTTTGGGAACAAGTGCCACTTGGCAAAAGTTACAAAGTTTCACTATATAGTCACAGTTAGAATTGAAAGTAGTTCCGATACATGTCACTTGGCAGGGTCCAGGCTGCCTGAGAGTTCCACACCATCTGTCTGGAGTTGCTAGCCATACATTATGATGTAAAAATGATAAGAGTCAGTTTTTGCTGACCTAAACAAAGATCTTGTCCATTAGTCTGTCATGAAAGGAGTAGCAGATATCCCAAATCTAACACTCAGACCATGCAAGTGAACACCTGAATAAGAGCCAAATATATTGGTAATTTCACTTTTCATTTCCTTGTAAATGAACAGTGGCAGGGGGGGGGTGATTTCTCAGTTTTTGTGCAAGCCAACATGAACAAGAGTAGACAGACAATATGGTGTGATGTATCCGATCAGTAATAGGCTAAAAGACGTGTACAGATGTATGCTTAACACAAATTCTTTTAATAACTTCATTATATCAAATACGAAATGTGTCCTTTAATCAGGCCAACCATGATTGCCTTTTGTTTAGCCATATTTTTAAGATTCCAAGAAAAATGGACCAACATCTTTCCATTTTTTTTCTTATAGAATCAATGCTATATCAAGTTAAAACAATTTATTTAGGGGTCATACACAATACTAGGCACCAATCCCATGATTTTGGCCACATCACTGTCTTATGCAAGATATCCTGCCACAAATATAAAACCATAGGGCAGGAGAATTTATTTGACTCTTATTTTTAGTCAATAAATCATCATCAGAATTAATCGATTGAACCCATAGTGAAAGTTTACAGGTACAACAGTCAGGTGTCTAATCTCCAAAAGGACTACACAACACAGTCTAACCTGTAAGTAGAATAACCAACTTTGTACTGGGCATAGGTTTGGTTTGGTTTGTTTTATGACCTATCAAACTCCATGGGTTATTTAATGCCAACAAGATTTTTTTTTTTTTTTTTTTTTCAAAAATGTATTTTTATACTTTCATAGTGTTTTGACGGCTGGGGAGGAGGGTAACTATTTGGCCATAGCTGGGACCCTGACAGGTGCTACTACCTCAGGTCAGGGTGGACCTGGGAAGACCAGCAATTAAGAGGTAGTTCCACACTCCTCAAAACCTGTTCAGAGGTTTGCTGTTGGATGAAGTTTATCGTCATACCCAGGACGACATTACAAATTGTATAAGAGTTCTTTTCCTAATCAATATTGCATTGCATTTAATGAATGCATAAAGTTTCCATATAAGGAAGTGGGACATTTGTGTAAATGAGTTGGCCATAGGACTTAACATGTAAGTAAAATAAAGCTGTTCATATGAGCAACTTTGTACGGACCATTTGCTGCTCATCACTACTGACTTGTTCTTTTAAGCAGGCAGTTCTGAAATAGAGAAAATATCCTGGGATAGATCACTGACAAGTGTTCAAGTGTCAAGGTTCAATGACTTAATGCTGTGAGTTGTTTTTGTTTTATTTAACATGAGTTCATATAAGTTCTAAAAAATACTTGTGTGAATGATTTGTCTAAATAAAGATTTATTTTCTTAATAATTAATTTTACCTAAATTCTAACCTTTCTCTTATTTCTTGTTCATTTCCAGCTGGACAGCCTTTCTCAGAAGGTCTTAGCTTCTCGTCTCACACTCAACTGTATGAGCAGCTACGTGGAACCACAAAAACTCAATTCAGTTGACATTACCATTATGGATGTAGGTAGAATTTTAGTATTATGCTCGCATCATTGTTTTATAAATAGTGTCCTTTATTAATCGGCAATGAGACATTGTCAATCATCAGTCAATTCTTGCTATCCCAAAATATATGAGAACAGATCAATAATTCTATGGCTTTATATGGTAGCTAAATGTTGGTTTGTTTTTCACCCTTGCATGGCATATTCTTAATGCAATCTTATTTTGACCACTCTCTCCAGAAAAAAAGATTGTCCCCATTTTTAATACAGCCTTTAAACCTGAAGAGGTTTTGTCCAAAAAGGTTGTGGAAGCAACAAAAGTAACACAAAGAATTGTAATTGAGTTGGTCAAGTGAGTGTTAGAAAAATAATGTTTTCCAAAACAGAGGCATGTGAGTCATTTTGATTTTTATTTTTCTCTCTCTCTCTCTCCTTGCAGGTGTTTGATGAATGTGCTCTCTCCCAAATGGTCAAGGATGAAATGTACAAATGTTACCCTAATGCTAAAAGGGCCCATCTCAAGTCTGGAGGAAATTTCCCTTATCTCAGTCGAAGTGTAGAAGTCAATGTTTTTATACAGGTAAGGAAAGACCATTTCAGTGTTTTCTTTGTATATGGAAACAATTTCTGTGTGTGGAGTGAGTATAATTATTATAAATATATATATATGTGTGTGTGTGTGTGTGTGATATAGTTTTAAGGTATGCTATATTTTGGGGTGCTCAATATCAGGGATAGAGCATATGTAAATATAAAAGTGAACATTGAAGTTAAAACCCAGA